ACTAATTTGAAAGGAAACTTGTACTCCCATGTTTATTACAACACTTTGTTATGGCTAAACTATGGAAACAACCTAAGGGCCCCAGGACAGATGAGTGGATCAAGAAGATGTGTAATATATACACAGTGGAATACTACTCAGCTATCAAAAAGGTAAATTCATGTCATTTGCAGCAACTTGAGAGGATAATGCTAAGCGAAGTAAGAAGAAGAAAGATAAATACTGGATGGTGTCATGAATATGTGGAATATAAAGTAACTAAATTAATAGTGATAAAGACAAGCTGAAAAACTAATCCTTGATAGCTGACTGCAGAACTGAGACACCAAAGGGGGAGGGGATAGGGAGGAGAGAGAACAGGGAGGGTCGGAAACATAATGGGCTGTGGTGCTGGAGTATGGGTGAGTTGGTAGGGATACCCCAATGTTACTGCAGTTAAAAACAAACAAACAAATAGAAAACACAACAATCCTAGGTGAAGTTGAAAAAAGAAAAGATAATTCTGGAATTTAATGCCATAGAAGAGTGTGTGACTTGATCACTTAGCATTGATTGGGGGTACAAAGAAGAACAAGGGGCAGCCCCTGCCCTCTAAGAGCTCAGAACTTAGACAATTTCTACCAGTTAGCTGGTATATGTTGAGCTTGGTTTCAGATGAGGTAAAGTTTCCTGATAGGAGAGTAGGAGGGGACAGGGAAATTAGCTAGGTAAAGACTCAAAGCTAAGTAGGGCAGTTCAGCATGAAGACCTCATGTGCCATGCTGAGAAGCATGGGCTGTTGGGGAGGGCAGCAGGCTTTTAAAAACATTTTCAGAATAAAGGTATTTGGGGTATATTGCTGCAAAAAGTCAGGAAGACAACATTGTATTCCTCATCAAGCTATAGGGTGCAAAAACAGTATCTTTAATACCAAGTCAGTTTAAGTAGAATATTAAATAGTCAAACTGCCAAAATACTGCGCTGCCCACAGATCTTGAGTACCAGGTAAACTTCTCAAGTAGCCAGTGAAAAGCCTTCTGGCCTCCAGCTCTAGAGTAGAATGATCCATCACCTATATAACAGGATAGGTTGCACTTTTCTTTCCTTTTTTTTTTTTGTTTTTGTTTTTTCAGGTTGTTTTTTTAATTTAAATTTTATTTTTATATATTCCCCATACAATTACAACCCCCTTATTTTGACCCCAGTCCCTCCTTTCCCCACCTTCCACCCCCCATAGGGTGTCTCTGGTTCATAGTTATTTGTTGATTTTGATATTTTCTTATAGTTATTCTTTTTCCTGGTCCCTTATTTAAGTTTTCTAGATTCCTGCTATGAGTGAGACCATCCGGTATTTTTCTTTTTCTTTCTGGCTTATTTCGCTGAGCATGATCCCTTCCAGCGCCATCCATGTTGCTGCAAATTGCAGGTGTTTATGTTTTTTGAATGCTGAGTAATATTCCATGGTGTATATGTACCACATCTTCTTGATCCAGTCATCTATTTTTGGGCATCTGTGTTGTTTCCAAAGTTTAGCTATTGTAAATAGTGCTGCTATAAACATAGGGGTGCAGGTGCTCTTTGGAATTGTTGTTTCTGTGTCCTTTGGGTAAATACCTAGGAGTGGAATTGCTGGATCATATGGAAGCTCTATGTTTAGTAGGTCCAGAAATCTCCACACAGCTCTCCATAGTGGTTGGACCAGTTTGCACTCCCACCAACAGTGCAGGAGAGTTCCTTTTTCTCCACATCCTCGCCAACATTTGTTGTTTTAGTTTTTTTAATATGTGCCATTCTCACTGGTGTAAGATGGTATCTCATTGTAGTTTTGATTTGCATTTCCCTGATTACAGGTGATGTTGAACATTTTTTCATGTCTGTTGGCCATTTGCATTTCCTCTTCAGAGAAGTTTCTTTTTAGCTCTTCTGCCCATGTTTTGACTGGATTATTTTCTTTGTTTTTGTTGAGTCTCATCAGCTCTTTGTAGATTTTTGTGATCAGTCCTTTATCATTAGTGTTGTGTGCAAAAATGTTCTTCCAGTCGGTGGGGTTTCTCTTTGTTTTTGTTATTTTCTCTTTTGCTGTGCAGAAGCTCTTTAATTTGATGTAGTCCCAGCTGTTTATCTTTGCCTTCACTATCACTGCTTTGGGTGATGTGTCTGTAAAGATGTCTTTGATGTGCATATCATGTAGTGCTTCACCTATATTTCCTTCTATGTATTTTATGGTTTCAGGTCTTATGTCTAGTTCTTTAATCCATTTTGAGTTGGTTTTTGTGCATGGTGTTAGGTAGTAGTAAGCTTCATTCTTTAGCATGTAGTGACCCAGTTTTCCCAGCACCATTTATTGAACAAACTTTCTTTGCTCCAATGCATATTCTTTGCTCCTTTGTCAAAGATTAGTTGACCATAAATCTGTGGGTTTATTTCTGGATTTTCTATTCGATTCTGTTGGTCTGTGTGTCTGTTCTTGTTCCAATACCATGCAGTTTTGATGATTATGGCTTTTCACTACAAACCAGAGTTGCATAAATGTTTCTATTCTTGAAATTTCTTGGGGTCTGCTTTTTACTCCTCAACCTGAGGTTTCAGTATTTTTGATTCTGTAATTGTCAATTACTGCATTGTACCCATCTGTTTTCTGGAGGTTATTCTTTTCTCAAAGTTGTGAGAGAAGAATGAATTTCCTGTGGTAAAAGGAACGGCAATATGAGAAGGTAGCAGACAAACGTATGAAGGAAGATATGGTAATTTAAGGTGGATCAGGGTCAGGTGTGATCAGGAATAAAGTCAGGACAAGTTGTCAATAGTTTAGAGTGTTGGATGAAGTGAAGTAGTCAAAGTAGAGAGAGAAGCACCAGAGAATGAGGCATAGGAGCCAAACTGAGTGAGGCCTCGAGCCACAGACTGATTTACTGCCAATAAATGGCATTTCTGTCACAGAGAAAGCTTAAATTCTAAGCTGCTTAGGAAGTCACCAGTCCTTCCTGTCACAAATGATTTTGTCTGGCTAAAATGAGAGCTTTTATGTAAAAGTGCTTCGTTAACTATAAAACATCATGCAAATGTATGGGAAAGTATTATGTGAAGACAGTAATGAACTGTGGCATTCATTCTTTCATTCCATTTCCAAATCAAACCTTCCCTTAATGTTTCTTGATGGTTATTACTGAATAAAATAGATCCAAATATTTTCAGAAGCATTATTTGTGAATATAAAAGTCTTTTTTTTTTTTTTTTTAATAGAGGCATGTTTTATTTATTTATTTATTCATTTGTTTGTCCGTCTTGTTTATACATGCACTGGGCACAGTCAGAAGCGCGGGAGGGTGAGAGAATTCACCAGAGCCAGAGCGGGGAGCAGAGCAGGCAGAAGGACCAAAGTACACTGCTGAGGGGAGCAGCGGGCGGCAGGAGAGGTCTGCACGCCATGCGGGACCCTCCGCTGGTGGCCGGGGAGCAGCCGGGGATCGAACCGGCGCCGCAGAGGTCGCCGGCAGCTTCGCAACCCAGCGCCCAACCGCTGCGCCACCGGGGAGGCCCGAATATAAAAGTCTTATCTTAAATTCCTGCTTCAGTGAACTAACTTTTTAAATATTAGATATAAATTCCTTTGAATGAACTATTATACATGTGGTTGTTCATATAATTCACATATCATAAATACAATTTAAATTGAAGTAAAGTTTATTTTGATGACTGATTTATCAGTAAATCATTTTCAATTATTTAAGCATTTGGGTAAGTTTAGCAATATTTTCCAAATATTTCTTAAATACTTCTAAATTATAATTTCTTGCTTTTTTTATTCACCTGAAACTCAGTTTAATGAAGTCTATGAATCATTGGGCTAATAGAGAAGATTCTCATTTATTGTAATTAAGCTGCATTGCCTATAGTCAGTGTTCAGCAAATGTCATCTCAATTTAGTATACCAGTAATCTTTTGAACAGCCATCTGGAGTGGAGTATTTTGCAGAGCTCATCTGAGTTTTCAGCCAAGTCCCAACTCTGCCATCTGTAGGGTCAGGGTCACTCTGCAGTGCTCATTTGTCGCTTTTTCATTTAAGATCATTCTACCCCAAGAGGGAGAGGCGGGAGAGGGAAAGGGAATAAGGCAAAGTGTGTGCCAGTGGTACACATTTTTTTATTACAATCGTTCAATGTTTAGTAGCAGCATATCTAGAATTGTCAAGAAAGTTTGATTTTGGGTATTTGAAGAGTTTACAAAATCAAGGTATCACTTGTTATTAGGAAATGAATCTTTTACCATTATGTGATTTCCCAAATACAGAACTTAGTTACAAAGTTTTGAGGTCTTATATGCCTGGGCTGTTTTACTGCACTTGTAAAGAATAGGGGTCTGTCTAGAAGTGAGTTACATGTATGGATATGTAATGGTGTGTGAAGGCATGTGTGTATATCCACAGATTTATTTATTTGGTATGATTCTATGTATGTGCACTTATGCGTGCATGTGTGTGCACAAAATTCATTACCAAGAGAGCTCCTGAAAGAATACGTCTCTCTGACCCTTTACAGAAAAGATTTACCAACTACAATTCTTATGCTTATAAAATGGTACTCAACTTACTTTCCCAATGAGTAAATTATTCAGTGGATTTTCATGGATGTCAGCTGTGCCTCCATTATTGTATTGTGGGACTATAATCCCTGGAGAATTGATCTATTATAGTACACAAGTGAATCTGAATGGAAAGTTGCATTATTGGTTCAAATACATTACTGTGCCTGATAGCACAGATGAAAGACGGCGCAGCACAGGTGCCCAGCACCAGCATTGTGAGAGTGGGAGGGGCATGACCTGGGAGCTCCAGTGCTTTGCCACTAACTATTCCTGTGAGTGCTAAAGCACATTTTGTTATTTGTCTTACTTTCTTCACTTGAAAATATGCATTGAATTGGATTGGATGACCTCTAGAAGCCTTTCTAGCTCTGAAACTCTTACTCTGTGACATTTAAGTAGGTCTGTAATTGTCTCTGACTGTTGTGATGTTTCCACAGGGTGTTACCTACTGTGGCGAGAGCTCAGCAAGCAGTCTCACCATGGCCAACGTGCCCTGGCATGAGGAAGTGGTACGATTTGTCCATGAGTTGGTGGATCTGATCCCTGACTATGAAATTGCTTGTGAACATGAACATTCCAATTGCCTCCTCATAGCCCACAAAAAGGTAAGAACTCAAATATGCGTTCTTCTATCAGCTTGGTCTTCTTGCTCCTTTCTTCTCTTTTCTCTTTACTTTCTCCTCACCTTTTTACAGTGAGTGTTTGCTTCACTCTTCTGAACTCCACCTGGCAGCCCAGGCATATAAGACCCCAAACCAATATTGAGAAAACCCGAAATTCTGCCTTTTGGGCTCATAAACTCTTTTCTGTGCAAAATTGCTTCATTTTTAGCTCTCACCTAGGCATCTTGAAGTGCTTTCTGGTTTGTAATTTTTAGAAAAATGCATGCCAAAAAACCAAAAGCAAAACATCCTTGTAATAACCTCTAGTCCTTTACCGCAATGACAAGGAAAAACTAAAATAGTAAATAAGCCCCATATGAATGTTTCTAACTGTCAGAAGATATATTGAGGTATTTATCAAATTTTAGATTACTTTGAATCTTGGCATCTGCAAAATTTTTCTGGGATTTTGGTTCATGATGCTTTATTTCTCCCCTTTAGTGCTTTTATAAAACATAACACATACCTGAATCTAGTATATTTCTTCACAAAATAAATAATGCCTAGCAAAGGAAAAAATTTGAATATTAAATCTATCATTGCACTCCTGGAATAAACCTTGTCATTGTGTTTATTTCTTAACCCTTTGCACTCCGCTGTCCCCTCTCAGGGGACATTGGTAGCCAATGTCCAGAATGGTTCGGAGTGCAAAGGGTTAATTATATATTACTGAATTCTGTTGGCTCATATTTTGTTGAAGATCTTTGCTTTTTGTTCCTTAGGGGTATGGGACTGTAGTTTTTTTTTTTTTAATACTGTGATTTTGTGATTTCTGTGGTTTTGGTATCAGTAATATCAGTATGCCTCATAAAATAGGTTAGGAAATGTTTCCTCCCCTTCTGTTTGCTGGGATGTATTGTATAGAACTAGTGTTAATTCTTTATTGCCCTAGTGAAACTGTCTGGGCTCAGAGGTGTCTTTGGGAGAAGTTTTATTTATTTTTTATTTTCTTATTTTTTAAAGATTTATTTACTTATGCATACAAGAGCTGGGGTACAGGCCAGAGATGTATGGGGTGAGAGAATTCACCAGAGACAGAGTGGGGAACAGAGCAGGCAGACTGACTAAAATACACTGCTGAGGGGAGCAGCGGGCGTGACAGGGGAGGTCTACCTCACCATGTGGGTTGCTCCCTGGCCGGCTGGGGATCGAACTCATGCTGCAGAGGCTGAGGATTGCTTCATAGTGCGGTGCTTAACCCCTTGAGCCACCAGGGAGGCCCTGGGAGAAGTTTTAAAATTACAAATTATGTTTCTTTAATAGTTATAAGGCTATTCAGATTATTTTCATTAGGTTTGTTGTTGTTGAGTTCCTCATTACTGTCTCCTCTTGTTTTTTTTTTTTTTTTTTTTTCCTGTATTGAAACTTTTAAATTCTCTTCTCATTTCCTTTCTTTAATATTCTATAGCTTTTTCTTAGTGGGGATTGCATCTTACATTTTAAAGCTATACTATTCTAATTTAAATTTACTCCTGCACCTGTGCAGTTACTTCATCATTTCCCCCCATATGTTGTCACTTTTGGATATACTAGTCTTTAATGTCTGTCTCCCAAAAGGGGAAAAAGAGAAAAGCAGTAGAGGAAGGAGGTAATGGCCATTTACATCCCTGGTAGTCACTACAGCAGGAAGAGGAGGTGCAGCAATGACTGCCTACCCCGATGTCTGCACTGTGTTAGGAGGAGCAGCAGCCAGTGATCAGGACACAGACCCAGTGCTCGGAGGACAGGATCTTTATTGTCAGCTCTGTCTCATGCAGGCTGCTCCAGGAAAATGCTCACAGCTGCCTGTAGTGGGTGAGGAGAATAGGGAATGGGGAGCTGATGGTGATCTAGGCTGAAATTGACTAAATTTAACTGCACTTTACAATCCAAACCTTCCCCTGAAAGTTGCAAGTCCTCAATAGACTGTGGAGTTTCAAAATAGTTACATCCAGCAGATTCTGCCAGTATAATTTTTGTGTGAGAGGGTGGAAGTATTCTTGATGCTTTCTATTCCACCATCTTTGCAGAATCCTATATTCTTATATTTTTAAAAAATTTTACTGAATTTGATTTTAAAGTTAGTCAACACACTGCTATTCTCCTTCAGCAAATTGAAGGGCTTCCTTCTACGCTTTCCTGCCACTGAATTTCTTGTTTCAGTGAGTCCATAAAAATCCCACTTTCTTGGTTCCCCTTTGCTTCTTGCATTTTGGTGGTTTCTCCTGTGTGTACTTCTCACCAAAGTGAATTGTTCACAGTATTTTACCTCTGAAACATCTTGATTTTACTTTTATTTTTAAATGATAGAGTATAAGAGAAGAAAACCCATAAGTTAAAGTATTTCCTCCTGGAACTTTGAAGGTAGTATCCTTTTATTTCTTCCAGCATAATCTTTTTATTATCTTCTGGTGTCTTTCATCATCAGTGAGATAAATGGTTGGTGACATTGCTTCGTTTTGGTGCCTGCCAGTAAATGCAACAACCAATAATATTTATTGATGACATTATGTATGCATTAGTTTATTCAATCCTTACAAAAATTTCTGGGTCATAAATTCTATGTTCTCATATTCCAAAGGAAGAGACTCAGGCTAAGAGACTACAGTTCTTGTCCAAGGAAAAATAGGGCACATAGTCTATTTTGGACCACTACATTGTATTGGTTCTCAAATGCTACAGCAAGGTCAGAAAAGGTAGGGAAGAAGTGCCCATTGGAAGCAGGATGCAGATTCCCCATCCCAGCTCACCAGGGAGCAGGTCTCCAAGATCACCAACTCTGAGAAAGTTATTTCCAAATTTGAGGTCCTGTGAGTAATTAAACACTGATCACAGCGGCCTCCATCTTAGATAAATATGCTCTCAGTCTGTAGAGGGAGGCGATGAAGAACTTGATCTCTCCATACCCTCCCCTGTTAGAATAACAAAGGATGTATCTGTCTCCATTTAGGTTTTGTGCAGTGTTCTCTTCACAAAACCTACTCACTGAATATTTTTCCTCCTGTTACATATAGAACTCACCGTTATCAGAGACCTGATTGCTCCCAGTAATTACTTTCAGAGAAATGTCAGGAAGTTGACATTTTGGTGACACTGCTGAGAGGACTCAGCTCTACGCCAACAAAATTGGAGATTAAGATTGGAAATCCAAAAATTGAGTTTCAGGGTAAAAAAAATAATTGCACTTGCATATATCTAGAATTCAATCACACTGTGTGGTTTTGACGCTAAAATGATTTCCCGGGTAGTTGCCATGTGTGTCTTACTTACCAATGAACTCAGAAAAAAGGTGGCCGTCCTGCTCCGTATCCTACTGTCTCATGCGTTCTGGTGTACTTGAAGTGTGTGTGATCTTTGCCTTCTCCCACCCAAAGAACAGCAAAACTGTTGTAGCTATGACAGGCAACAACAAAATTCACCAGTCTGGGAAATTCTGCTCTGGCATTCTTGTAATTCCAAAATCACTTCTCCCTCAAACTAGCCTGGGATTTCTTTCTTCTTTTCTAGTTAGCATATACTTCTGACTTACAAGAGGGTCTCTCCCTCTTTTAACTAGTCCTTGCCTAATTGTCTGATTTTTAAGTCAGTTCTTCATCTATTAAAAAACAAAGAAGCAACATGTTTACCTACACTGTTAGGAACTGATTAAGACAACAGGAATATCTTCCACTGTGGCGTTTGAATTTTTTAAATGTTTTGCCAGAAGGAATGAAAGCTGTGTAAATGAAACAGCCCATCAAAGGCAGACCATGCTGACCTCAGAGGTTTGTGTATAAAGCTTCTGATTCCCCTGCATTTGCCTTGGAGTGGACAATCTCTCCTGCTCTGGACTTGGTAGGAAATAATTAATAGACAGCATGATTCTCATTGTGCTCATTGCTTAGACTTTATACTGAAGAGAGTAGAAGTACACATGGAAATTTGGAATATACAGATTATTTTCTGTAACTTTTAGATCAGTTAAACTTCTAACAGATTGATACTGCTTTCCTCCCCTGATTCTTTGCTTTTGTTGGTTATATATCTTTTACAAATGCCTTTGCCCATCATTTTAGTGTGATTTGAAAAAGTGAAAGTAAGTACGTGTATTTATGTGCCATCTTTTAAGCATTTAAAATAAGGAAGAACCTATGTCGTCCTTCTGTTTAGTAAAGTTCCCTTCTAAGAAAGATGAGAAATCATGAGAACAGCAGTTTTATTCTTTTGGAGAGTTGGGAGCCCATAGAACTGACTCATCTGACCAACAAGGCCACTGACCCTTCGCAGCCTGCTTTTAGGAGTCACGGCCATGCCTTATTGGGTTGTGATGTGTTTTTGAGATCATCTGTGACCTTTTGAGCTCATTCGTAATTCTGCATAGATTTGCCTCTTCTCTTACCATTAGATTTGAGGAATTTTTGAAGCAAGGTGACCCCATGTCTTAGCATATCTACCTCAGATTCTGTGATTTGGGATTTCCCTCTGTGTTTATGCAGCTCTGTCTTTCAGCATTATTTTTGTGCCAATCTTATTAAACTTTTCCTTCTTAGCCTCTCCCTTTTGCTTAAAATGGCTTGACTTTTTCCTGAGCTATTATTATTCAATATATTATTCTTAGCTTGTCTTGAGAGGCAGCATATATAATTTAGTTTTGTCTTAGGGGTCTCTTGGCTCAGTGTTGATTTAAGAGTAACCTGTTACAGATTGAATGTTTCCCCTCACAATGCTTACGTGGAAGTCCTAACCCCCCCATATGACTGTATTTCAAAGGCCCTCTAAGGAAGTGATTGAGGTTAAATGGAGTCATAAGGGTGAGGCCCTGATCTGATAGGATTAGTGTCCTTATAAGAAGAGACACAGAATTCGGGCCCCCCGAACCCCTGTACTAAACTGTAGACACATACTAGGTATAAGCTTTGTAAGTACAACGTGAGAAGAAGGTGACTGTTTGCTGGAACCTTCATCTCAGACTTCCAGCCTCTCCAAAAGGGTGGGCAATTTAATTTTTGCCATTTAAGCTACCCAGTCCGTGGTATTTTGTTATAGCAACCTAATCAAACTTACATGCCTAACTTGTGTTACATCTGTTTGTCCTCTAGATTGTGTCCTTAGCCATTGGTGATCAGAGGGGTGGGTTGTCGGATTTTGGCTTGCAGTCGTCATATCTATGCCGTCAGTTTCTTCCATTGTAAGCTAGGGGAGAGTTTTATATCAGAAGAGAACAAATTTTCCTCAAATTTCATTAAGAATCAGGAAATTAATTTAGTGGGTTGCTGCAATGGTTTTTCAAATAAAATGCATTGCCTGTAGTTTTGTGAAAACTGTTTCCAGGATGTGTTTTATGGGGGAGTGTATGTGTATTCACTTAATAGATTGAAATATAAAATGTATTTTGTACTGTAGATTGTAAAAGTGATTTTACTTCCATTGCTTTAGTCCAAACTAATCCTTCAGACCTTCTTCGAGTATCCATAGCAAGTGAATTAATGTTAGAGTCTGAGGGAGAAGGAAGGACCAGGATTGTGGACTCTGAGAAGTTGGACTTCAGATGCAGAAATATAAACCCAAGAATTATTTAGAGGAGAATATGGTTATCATTTTTTTACTCAGGAAACAAACAAACAAAAAAAAAAAAGCAGGGAGCCCTCAAGAAAACACTTCTAGTAGGACCAAACTCTTGGGGGATGAGTGTGATTTATCACATCTTGCTCTGGACTTCAAAAGTGCTTTGTGCATATCCCTATTCATTGAAAGGCAATCTGTGTTAAAATTTACTTTATTTTTTAAAAAGATTTATTTATGCATACAAGAACTGAGGTGAGGTGTGGAGGGTGAGAGGATTCATCAGAGGCAGAGTGGGGAGCAGAACAGGCAGATCTACTGAAATGCACTGCTGAGGGGGGTGCAGCGGGAGAGACAGGAGAGGTCTGCTGTGCCATATGTGGGTCAGCTCCCTGGGTGGGCATTGAACTCAGCCCATAGCCACGATAATGCTAAGACTTAACCTCTGTACCACCAGGGAAGCCCAAAAATTAACTTTTAAATGTCTGTAACTGAGCCAAGTCTAAAGTACTCACTCTGTAAACATTAATAGGAGGGAAGAATTTTACTGTCATACACATTAATGACATGTTTTCTTCTGCGCTAGTTAGGAAGTCATCCTACTTCTAGTCACGTGTGAGTATCCTGCCTTCCATCATGTGTGTAGTATAAAAATAGTCCATTCTGTTCTGTGAAACCAATAGAAGCAGAATACGATCATGTCTCTCAAGTCAAGATGTCAGTAGAGCAGATGGAAAATCTTTACTTTTTTTCATCATGTGGCCTTCTAGCTTTGTTAAGAGGAAGAAGCAAGGCCCTTGTCTGTCCTACATGACAGCATAAATTATAAGAAATATATTCACAAAGCCAGCTGTAGCTTGGCAGGTTGGGATGGGGACAATTACTACAGAAGCAAATGTGCTCTCATTGGACGAGTTCAGGGTACAGTGAGAACTGTCACAGTCAAAAGAATTCTGAAGACTTTCCAGAGCAAAACGACATTTTATGAGGAGACAGAGTAGGTGTTACTCAGACAGAGGGAATAGCATTGGGGGGGCACAGGAGAAGAGGGTAGCTAAACTTTATATTCCAGATTACGGAATTCTATTCTGTTCTAAGCATAGTTACCTCAGGGCGGCCTGCAGAAGTTGGAAGCAGCTAAAACTGGAATCAAAAGATCAGTCCTCTGGAAGATGTTACTGGGGCCCAGAATGGAGGCCCTGCATTAGGGCAGGGTCAGGGCACTAGTAATAGAAGTGCTGCTCCGGAAAAATCAATGGGACTTGGCCAATTTGGGGATGTAAGGAACCAGGCAAGGAAGGTCACCTTTGACTGTAGTTTTTAGGCTCAGCAGCTGGGCATGACAGTGATTGTTTTTTTAATAATAGAGAACACTCAGGGGCAGTCAGTCTTGGGAGAGAAAATGATGGGTGAGGTGTGGATTTTACACTTGGACTCTAGAGTTCATGGAAGCCCTGAGGCACCTTGTCTTAAGAATGATCTTGTTAGGAGAAAATTTCTCATAATTTATAGGTAGACTAAACTTTTCCATTTATTTGACATTTTTCCCCTAGAAAACTTTGAGCTGTTCAGATGTCATTTAAATTCAGCATATTTTAATATTTCAAATCCAAGAACCTATATATTTATAGTATTTTTTCCCAGCTAGAACATGAAATTGGTATATAATCAGGATTTTCAAAAAGACAATGGCATAGCAGAAAGATTTTATCTATTTGTAAGTACAGTGTCAGTGTATTATACACTTACACAAATGAATGCCAAATAGATGCTTTGAATTAAAAGCCTTCACAGATCAATTAGTAGTTCCTTCAGAGCCTACTCAGCTTATTTTCTATTTTCTTCATTCTTGGGCATTATTCTACAGTGACTTTTGAGAAGCAATTTTCTTAAAAGAGTACAAATTGGATTATTCCTCTTTATTGAACTGAAATTCTTAACAAGGCATTCCACTAATGAGATACTGTATCCATGTTAGACTAAAAAGGTTAGCTTGAGTCATTTAGTTGGCATTTCAGAATTAGAAGTCATTGATTAAAGTTTCACTGATAATCCAAAGTTTAGTAATAAAAAGGACTCGATAGATGCTGCTTGCACAACCATGGAAATTCATACCATCTAGAAAGTGGCAACAACGGGAATTAGCATTAACTTGACCATTAACACAGCATGATGCCAAAAACTTCAAATAGCCCTGGTCAGTGATGCTGCTCCAGATAAACTCAGCTTACAGTTCCCGGAGGCAACCTCTACTCAGTGTTTGTGTCTTCCAGGTCTGACATGCGTCCTCCTAAGGAAAGAGAAACTCTGCTTTGACCATAGTTCATTCTCCTTTGATGTGGAACCCTATGTGGAACATGAAAGAATTTTCTTTTACATGATAGGGAGAAAAATATCAGGCTCATTAAAAATTTTTTGGTATTAGATTTATTAATGGATATTTTTACTTCTGACCTGACTACCTTTTTTCTTTTCAGTTTAAGATTGATAGTGAATGGTGGACGTGGATTGATTATCACCGCTTTCAGGAGCTCATGCAGGAATACGAAGAGAGCAGTGGATCAAAAACTTTCAGTGCAAAGGATTATATGGCCAAAACTCCTGCCTGGGCATTATTTGGTGCCAATGAAAGAGGCTTTGATCCCAAGGATACAAGATATCAGAGAAAGAACAAATCAAAGGATATTTCCGGATGTTGAGGTTATCAGATTTTAGGATGCTGAAGGACAAAAACTGATGGCCTCGGAAGGTTCTTGGACTCCACTGTGAATTTTCCAAGGACTGATTACACAAATTATATTTCATAAAGAGGAGACTGTAAGACAGAATTTGAGGACACAAGTCACATCCCTGGGTCTAGGGAATAACATCTGCACTTTGAGTGCCTGGGACTTAGCGCAGCATTTCTTTCCAGAACTCATTCCCTTTCCTGATTTTACTCCTGAGAGGAAAGTCCTTTGGGGAGGAAGTACACAACCATTACTAGAATTTAATTGACAGATTTAAATTATAATTACTAAGACTCCCTAGGATGCTCACATGAGACTGTTATAAGGAATGAGTATCAGTCCCCTTCCCCCTTGTGGGCTGTGTACTGCTGAGGTAGGATTTGTCCTACCCTGAGGTAAGTGCATTGCTCCCCTCTAAGATCTCCATCCCTTTCTTACATCTTACTATAAAACCTGAAATGAATTTAATTTGTCCTAATTCTCAATTTTTAAATACTGCATAGATTACTATGAATTTTTGCTTGGTGTCAACCCTTTATGAAGTTGACTTACATCTAAAACTCCAGTAGAGCTAACTGTTCCCATGGACTTGCCATAGGAAGACCCCCTACATCTGAAACACAAATAACGATGTGAACCAATGTTAACTCAATTAAAAACAGAGTAATAAATTTTAAAAAAGAAAAAAATAAACATCGGGGGGAAAAAAGAAAAAGCTCTTTTCATAAGAGGAATTGCTATGTATTGTTACTGAATAATTAGTCTCACAACCAAAGTGTGAAACAATCAGTGTAGTCTGCTCTCTGTCTGTGAGGTCAGTGTGGAAGCTGCCATCACTACATGCACGTGGGTTTCCAGCTCCTTTCACCCTGGTTGCTGTTGCTATCTTACACAATCTGTTCTTTAAGACTCCAGTTTCTTCTAATTGGAAACATCATTAGATACTCAATAGTTTTTTTTTTAAGTATCATAGTTTTTTTTAAAAATTCCTTTATCCTAAAATTTTCATTAATAAAAAATCTTTTGTAAAGTCTTCAAAATTTCTTTTGAGTGTTTATTTTAAAGATGTGTGTAGTCCTGTAGTTCTAAGCCCTGTCAGATTCACCTCCGTCTTATATATTAGCTATTTGCTAACACCCTCTGTTCTCTGCTGAAGTAAAATTCATAATGTATCTGTTTCACCTAATTGAAAACTGGCATTGTATTCCTCAGTGATAGTCAAAACATTTCTCTATTGTGACTCGGAGTGGGGTAGTGACAAAGTATCACAGAAATCATGTTCTTTCTTGAACCTACCACATCTTCAAACTTATACAGTTACCTGTTTTGTTGACTTCTGAGTCAGACAAGAGTCCTAGTGGCCTGGGGCAGCAAGGCCGGATCTTACTGAAACTCAGAGGCACTAGTGCTTATTGATCAGACATAGAAAAACACTTGAAAGCAGAATGAAGGCTTTAAAAAGCAGGAACTCGTGGATTGGCTTCTGTTTGTGACCGTTAACTGAGCATCTACTTGTCAGAAAACACCTCTGGGCTGCCACGAGGAGTAAGGAGGCGGAGTAAAAGGCTTTGGATCATCCCTCAATATCTTTTTCAACAAGGTACCTTTGCTTTTATTTTTTACATACTGAGGTTCAGCTTGACTTAACTGGACAAAGATACTCTGTTGTTCTCAGCTGTAGAATGAGCCTTTCTTCATCCCATAACTTTGGGTACATAGATATATGCTTTATACTTTAAAAAATTGGCATATTAATCCTAGTTCTCATAGTTAGAACAAAAAATTTCAAGTGCTTAGGGAAAATACAATGGAATCTATGTGAAAAAATTCAGTTAGTTTGCTGAGCAGTATTAAAGTAGAAGAGAATGGGATGCTTGAATGTTCTAAAAAGGTCAAGTTATTTTGGGAGCTTGAGCAACTGATTCTATCAGTTGATCCAAACAGATAAAATAATTACAAAATTCCAGAAAAATAATTATTAAAGGAAAGTGTTTTATAAAATATTAAAACATTATCTCAAACAATTAAAATAATTTGAGACAAGAGACCTGCTTCCAAAAAAAGCAGAGTAAAAGCGTAAGTGAATTCATTCTCCCTCTAGAACAATGAAAATATGAGCAACATGACTAAAATCAGTGCATTTTTGAATTCTAAAATTTAACCAAAGCTTCATAATGAGCTGAAATGAATATTTATGGAAAGAAACGACTAAAACTAAATAAAATTAGCAGTTGACTTTTCATCACAAAACATGGAGGCCAGAAGATAGTGGATGACATCGTCAAAGTGCTGAATGAAAAGACTCAACCAAAAATTCTATATCTAGCTGACTCCTCCGAGAAAATAAGACATTTCCTGATAAAAATTAAAGAGTTCATCACTAGCAGACCTGCCCTGCAAGGAATACTAAGGGAACCCTTCACACGTTAATGAAAGCACTCTAGATATATTAACTCAAAGCCACAGGAAATAAAAAACATCAGTTTTTATTGAAACTGAGGCTAAGTGGTTAAATTGGTCTCAGACCCTAGAAGTTCAAGACAAAAAAAATCTTACCTAATTTTCTCTGTGGGGCTTCTGTTAACAGGCAGATTTATCTGACACAACCTGAGCAAGTAGAAGCAAACAGCTCTGAACTGAGCTCCAGGGAAGGCAGGAGACGGAAAATGTAGAGAAGAGGCCCCGCCAGAGGCAGGGGCCTACTCATGGAAATTCAAAACTCCAGGTTTGGGTGAACTGTAGGCTTACACCTTCCAGTATATGTTGCCACGGCACACCCACCACCAGGGTTCCCATAGTCCATCACCGTAGTGTCCTGTGACCTCTCATGCTTCGTGTATAAGCTGCTCTGTGACTGACAAATGAATTTCAGCCAAGTCCACATTTCTTTGCCTGAAACCCACCCTTGAGCTTGTAAAATTTAGCTCCATCGTTCTCAGTCCTAGTCCCTCAAACCTGTATAACCTCATTTCTTTCTTAACCAGGGAGGTAGATTTGAGTTTATAATGTACCTCCTTGCCAGCTGATATGTAAAAGCTGATTTTTCACATACCTGAAGTCTTTGACCTATGCATATTAGGGAGAAGACTCCATTGCTTGATAACAGTATCAATTTATTTTTGTTGTAACTCCCCTGTTTCATTTTTGTGTTTTTCTCTTTACTGATGTCACATTGATTTACAACACAGTATACGATTTGCTGGTGTAGCTTCAACCTTCCCACATAGGTTGCCACAGCACACCCACCACCAGGGTTCCCATGGTTCTTCACCATAGTATATTGTGACCCCTCCCCACTTTGCTCTCTGACCACCCTGCCCGGCTCTCACCAACACTATGTTACCCTCAATTCTACAGACAGGTTTCTAGGGTTGATTATTGTTTTCGTTTTGAAAGACCCTTTGTTTTGTTTCTCTATATCCCACATGAAAGTGAACCCATCTGATATGTCTTTCTCCATCTAACTCACTTCACTTAGCATTATCCCCTCCAGTTCCATCCATGTGGTTGTGAATGGTAAGTTGTGTTCATCTTTTTTAATAGCTGAGTAATATTCCATTGTGTATATACTACGGAGTGGGACATGACTCAGGGAGATGTAACTGAGGCCAGGTTGTAAGTACAGAAAGGAACAGCATGATTAGATTTGCATTTTAATAAGTGTTGGGAAATGGCTTGGAGAGACCTAACGGGAGGGAGACGAACGGGTAGGTATTCTCAGAACCAATGAGGGCATGGCTTGGGGAGTGGCATTTGTGCAGTGCACACCCCTGCACTGCCCCTGGTGGTTGGGGTGGAGGGCAGTGAGTGGATAGACTTGAACGAAACCTTGGACGCTCACACTTAGGGATTTGGCCACATGTTGGTTAATTTGGGAGGGAGTGGACAGGGAGAGTGACGTCACGTCCAAGATGACTCCCAGGTTTCTGACTTGAGATCAGGTTGAATGATCGTACCATTTTCCTGGCAGACAGACTGAAAAGGGGCCAGTCTTAGGGGTGATCCTGAGTTCACAGTGCCTTAGACATCTAAGGGGAAGTTGAAGGCAGCATACGGGCCTGGGATGGAAGGTAATATGTGTGGCTCATCATCATGTGAGCTATAATCGGAGCCTCAAGGAGGCCTGTGATCAGGGAAAGTATAAAACGAAAGCAAGGGTGTGGTGTCAGAGATAGAGGGGTGTGTGGACACGCGAGAGAGCAGGGAAACCAGGCCTCGCAGAGACCCAGGGAGAGAGCGGCCCGCAAGCAGCCCTGTGAGAAGTCAGCGACGCAGGATAGGAAAATGCCCTTTCTCTGGGAATCCTCCACCAGCAGTTAGTGGGGTGCTGCCGCCAATGAAAGTTCTGGAAGGGTTTTTAGTGGCAGAAGATAACTAATATAATGGTAAGTTTAAAATGTAGAACACAAAGCCACGGTATCATCTTACGTTATATTGAAAATCATAGGAGGAAACACAACTGAGCATGTGTTGTGTAAGCAGAATGGCACAGTAAAAGGCACGAGGAAATGTGTGGAGTCAGACGCTAAGCTCTTTCCTCCAGTAAGATCCTGAATTGGAATTCAGCCTAGAGTGGGAGTTAAATACATGCGAAACAGCATATTTTGTCATCTAAAAGATAAATCTTTTTTGTTGTTCTTTCACTGTGCTAGGTTGTTTTTCTCACTTTTTATTTAAATACAAATTGATGAACTCTTCCCGGGGCACTGTTGATTTAATGCAAGTTGGCAGTGACTAATCTCGTTGGCTATTAGCCTGCTTCGTGCTTTTGTCCTCTACCGATTTCTCTTCATTTAGTATAATAAAAAGCATATTACTTCCATGACTAGATTTGGAAGATGTTTATTATGGTGCTGTGAACTCACTGCATTTTCTGGAGGAAAAGACAACCCCTCTTGTTTGGAAGGAACCCCGGTGCATTTAGATGTGTACTCATTGATTTTAGGAATTCTGGCCGAAATGTAGAGCAAGAGCAGAAGTGGTCGTGGCAAGAGCATGTGTGTTTGCAACGGACCGTGAAGGAAACGACGCAGTCCCAGGTGGGTAAAGAGTGTATTTGCCGAAGATCTGAACAGGCAAACAATCTGCAATTCCTTCTCTAGATTCTCCCCAGCCTTATCGAAGGTACAGTGAAGTGCCAGATATGACTTCATCTTTCTCCTTGTAAGGAGCTAATTCATTGTGTGCCTAATGAATGGGCTCTCACTGAGAACTACTAGAAATTTATATGCTGATTATCATCTAAAGAGAAGTTGGATAAAGTAATCGGGACTGTTGAAAATTAAAGTGTGTGTGTGTGTGTGTTTTAACAACTGCCCCTTCTCCAGCAACCCCTGTGTAAGGAGGAGCCTGTACATCTGTGCCATGCCCGGCACTTGGCCCACTGGAGAGAGGGCCTTGCTGCGCCCCACCCGGTCGCCTCCTCCCTGAAGAAGGGCTGAGGCACAGAGAGGAGGCCCTAGGAGCACCGCCACAGTCTGGTTCCCTCTGGGGCAGCAGGGCAGAAAGCATTTCATGGAAATATGCCGATGGGTGAGTTCTGACCAGGGGGCCGGAAGGCTGTGACGAGGGTGGTGGGCACATCTGGGGTGCCCTTGATTTGGGAAGTCTGCAGGGGCACGGGGTGGTATTGGACGTTTCCCCCTGGCTTGCTGAGTACAGAACAGGAATTCCTGGTGAAAGGCCCCAAGGCTCCTAGAACATTGGGTTTTGGGGCCCCCTGACTTGTTTCTGGTGACTGGAAGTCATTTCCTCTGTATACAGTCAGTGTCTGATCCTGGGGTCAGGACTAGAAGCTGGGGTACAAGGCCCTCGTGAGAAAGAGGCGGGGAAGAACAGGGAAGCTGCACCCAGAGGGGAAGGCCCAGTTGCAGAGCCCGGGAGCAGGCTGGCGGCAGGTGTGTGCTGCAGGTGGGGCTGGGGCTTTGGTGTCACTGATGGAAGAGTAGGCACCGCTGTCCTCTGGGTGATGCTTTATTTGGCCATCAGTCCACTGGTGGTGCTGAAGGACACATAATCACAGAAGTG